CTGAGCAAAGAAATTACAAGGCTCCGGGTCGAATGGGGAGCAGTGGAGCAGAAATCAGTCGAGAATCATCAAGGAACGCCGGTGAGAAGCACTTGCAATAGTGGGAAGATGGAGTCTTAACAAACCCACTAAAGTTCACGACTTGGGTGAGAATCAGAACGTTATTGCACTTTAAATCTATGCACAGATGTCCCAGGTAATCCTCTTGTTATGGTGGAGCATCAAAATTCTCCAACCGTTGGACCAGGCGCATCAAATTGGGTGAAGAATAAGTTGAAGAAACTGATGAAAAAGATCGATATACTGTGCCTATCGAGAAGCTCGTGTCGCGACTCGAGAGCTGCTGGATGTGCTGGATAGGCAACGGAAATCAGTCACTTCCCTGATATGAAGTGACCAATATTTAATGCATTTTGTTGACTTTTTTGGGTCGACCGTTGACTCGAGCTGGGCGATCTATTTACGCTTCGGGTCGATCCGGGTACTGTTATGAGGGGCTATATATATGTTCTTAGCCCCTGAAAAACCTAAGTCTTGTCTTTTTCTTTCCTTTCTACGTTTTTAAGCTTTCCATTTACGGTTTAGTTGTAATCGATCCTTAGAGCATCGGATCTTTGGTGTTCTAAGTTACTTTCTTTATAAAAGTTTAGTCTTTAGCTTAACGTTTCAATCTTTGCTTGTTCATTACACTTATCTTTGCATAACTTCATTCGCACCTCACTCGAGCTCAATCATGGCTTTTCCCGTAGCCATGAGTGAGTAGTCCACTCTTCGAGTGTCGGGATAGTAGATGTAGAAGCTTTAGAGCTTGGCTAACTTAGTTTCGGCTCAACCCTTACATTTTTCGAGCTTAAGTTGAGGTTAATGCTTAGCTCTCGTTACGACCTTGAGCTTTGCCTTCAGGCGTTCTGCTGCCCGAAAAGTGTTTGTCGGAATGCCGGACTGACCTTTTGCTCGGCTTAGCGACCTCTGGCCATGAAAGTGTTGTNAGAGGAGNTANGTGAGCTTATTGGNACNTGATCTTAATGNTTGNAGAGTNNTTATATCTAGCAGCGAAAGTTAGTTAGATGTTTGTACTCAACAAAGTGGTTAGTAGCATCACGAAAGTGGGATGATCATTATTCGTGTTTCATGCTTAAGAGTGAGTTTAATACTAAAGGCCCTAAATTTGTTAGCAGAGATCTATTTCTCTGCATCAGTTGCTATCCCGATACTTGGTGCTTTCCATCATCATTGCATTTGCTTTCAAGTCTTTGTTTTGCGTATTTCTAGTTTATTCACATTTCTCCTTAGTTTAGCTCAATAAAACCAAACCCTTATTGTTGTTTTAGCTTAATGAAAGTTCTTTATGGTCTAGTACTTTGAATCCTTGTCTTTGCTGTATTCGAACCCTTTCACTTGCTACAATTGAATCATGAGTATGTTGTTAGCTTTGTTAGGTTTATTTGATAAGTTAATTTTCTTATAACTGGTAAAACAACTCTCATCAAATTGGCGCCGCTACCGGGGAAGCTAACGCACTTAGATATTAGATTTGAAAATTTTGTCAAAACTAAAGCTTTTGTTTATGTTTTTGTTCCATTTTTGTTCTATAATTTTACTCTGTTTCTGCATATGCTTTTGTGGTTGTTGCTTTCATTTCTGTGTCTGTTTTGCAGTGTATGAAAAGGAGAAGTCAAGAAGGAGGCCTTCGTGATTTGGTTCCAGATATTGGTAGGCTTGAGAGATAGACAAAAGCACAAGCTCAGGCTAGAAGATTTCAGGAAGTTGAGAATATGGAGCATCCTCAAGTTGTTCCACCAGTTGTGAATCCCAACAATGACAACCCATTCCACAGAGAGAACAAGTCCAAGCTGCAAGACATCAACCAAGGGCACCACCACTGGCTCAGGGTGAGCTAAGACC